ATTTAATTTGCGTCCCCATCCAGGCTGTGGTGAGAGCCAGAACAGAAGAGGCTACATTGAATCTGTGCAAGAGAGGGAAAAACAGAGACAGGCGCGCTGTCAGACAGCAAGAGGAAGACACATGGAGAGCGCAGGGGAGAGGGAAACAGAAATGGAAAATCAGGATCTCTCACAGTGAGGGATAATCACAAACAGGCAGACAGACAGGTGTACAGTCATTGTTTTTCATGCAGAAGCACTGTTGCATATAGGAGGCTAAGATTTAATTGAATCAAACAGAAGCAACAAGGCACAGATAATTATTTCAGAGAATTAATAAGACTTCCTCATTAAAAAGGACTAAATATGGATGTGACATTGTCTCAAACTTCACGCTTTCAGTTCTCTTGCAGCTGAACAGCATCATTCATTAATATGAGAGGCAAACAGACATGATGTACGGCATCAGATTCACGAAAAACCTGACACACATCAACACATGTATCTTTCAAAGTCATGCATTTGATTTTAATGAGTCTCTCGGTTGAATTTATGGGCTGGAAAATAGGTTTTTGATAGACTTGTAATGCTGTATTAATTTCTAGTTTCCTCTGATGTGCATGTACTGCCCTCATTTGGTGGTTCATGTGTATTGCAAGCACCCATTATATTTGTTTACAACAACAGAAGGAAGACTAATTTCAATTAAAAGTTTGTTCAAATTAAATATAGCCTACATTAGGTATTGGAACAGCAAACTCCTTTTGAATTTTAAAAAGTAAATACAAGCCCTATCTTTTTAATTTGGGGTAATTCTAGTGTATCACATGTTTTATTATTTTGTGATCTCTAACTCTTTCTGTTTTGCTTTTATAATTTGTTTTTTTAAATATTATTATTAATTTATTTATTATATTATTTCTATTATTATATTGTATTTCTCACTCTTTATTTTGTACTCATTGTTATATTATTTTGTATCTCATCTTGCTATATAAAGCACTTTGGGCTGCATCTTGCATGAAAGTGCTATATAAATAAAGTTATTATTATTATTTAGTAACGCTAGGCTAACCTAAAAACGAGGAGCGTAGATACATTGAGGTAAAAAGGAGCCTTTAACGACCAGACTTCAGTAAAATATCTAACTAATAAATTATGAAAGCGTATTAAACCTTAAAATAGTCGAATAACATTTAAATTAGCCCGTAATTAACTATTTATTATTTGTTTTCACTCACCTCTCTCTTACAGTACAAAAGTATCTACTTCCGGATTCAGCTCCTCCAGTGTTGCCATTGGTTACATTCACTTTAACGTTCCAGTGATTGGCTAACAACTTTCCCAGAACCCCTCGGTGTTGAAGAGTGAGCTCCATGAACTGACACAAGTTGCTAGCTACACGACTGGATGCTAATTTACATTGGACAGCAGCAGCCTGTTAAACACAAAATAACAGCACTGCACTTTAAACAAATAAAACATAAAATATGCTACACGTCCTTCACCCATCCATCATCGCCAATCGAACGTTGATCCGGCGTTTTGCGCATTGCTGATTGGTTGATTTACGATAGGGGCGGGTTATTTCCTGCTGTACGTACGTTGTACGCCAGACAGCAGTGAGCCTCCTGTGTTTTTACTGTGTATTCCGCTGATGGGGCAGAGGAAACCCTGACTCACCTGGAGCCGGACTGTCCTCCACAGGTAGGCTGTTTCTGCAGGTCCGTTTAAATACACGTGTGTTGACGCCATGTTGTGTTGATGTTCCTATGTATTGATAAATATGTTGGTGCACCCACATGTTGCAGGTGGCCTACCACTCTCTATTACTGAGTCTGTCGTGGTTGGCAGAGTTGGAAAGTAACTCAGTACACGTACTCAAGTGTGGTACTTTACCTGAGTATTTTCATTTAATGCTACTTCTTACTTCTACTGCACAACTTTTACTCCACTACATCTGTTTAATATATTAACTACCTTTCAGAACCTTTAACATAATGCATCTCAAACCAATAAACTAATGGACTCACTGTTTAAGGTCCAAAAAAAGTAGAATCATCCTATAACAAAAAGCCAATAATTTGTTGTATCACAACTTTATTTATAAGAGTAAAAGGCTACTTGATGCAACAATATTATCATATTATGTACAAATGTCATATATAATAATAATAAATGCACATGGAGGCCATTTTTCTGCAGAATTACTACCTTTTACTTTTTATACTTTAAGTTAGTTTTGCTGATAATACTTCTGTTCTTTTACTAAAGTAAGATTGCAGGACTTGTACTTGCAACAGAGTATTTAACCATCAATGTATTGCTACTTTTACTTACTAAAGAATCTGAACACTTCTTCCACCACTGATGGTTAGTTATATACACTGATACGCTGTAATCTATGATGGCGCTTAACTTTGTAATCTGCTTTTTCCATTGCAGTGTTCCTGTTGAGACAGAGGCCATCAAACCACTATGAAGAGTCTGAAGGCAAAGTTTAAAAAGACTGAGGTAACAGCCATCTGTGGGCATGTGGAACTTTACAGTTAAAAGTAGTACACCTGTTTGCTACAAGCTATTTACATATATAAGCCACAACAAGCTGTGTTTTAACCTAATATTACAGTGTCCACCTGCTCAGGATTGGGTAGTCATTTATATAGATCCCGGGTTGTTCCTTGTGTTTGCGGGTGAGTGGGTGTGAGTGTGTATGGGGGGCCCCGGGATTCAGTGTCACTGAGCAGCAGCAGGAGAGCAAGGCTGTTATAACCAGAGATCTCAGGTAGCATTCAATTATTCACATGCGCACACACACACACACACACACACACACACACACACACACACACACACGTGCATGCAAAGAATCCCCACCTTCCTGCTGTCATACCTCTGCTACTCCAAATGGCTTTGGGATTTAACCTGGTTTCCAAATACTGCTCTTTTAAGATTTTACTTTTTTGCCTGCTCCGTAGCCATGTTCTTATTGCAGGTTAACATACTGGGGTCAGAAAGACTTGCAACCTCACAGCACAAAGGCATCGGTAGAGGACACTGGTTCTACAATGTGGTCTGAGCATCTAGTCCCTGAAGATGCTTTTAGCACATTAACAGCCTGTTAGGTTGAATTTCTCCTTGGGCGACGGACACTGAGTCTTAGTGTAAGTGATAACCACAACAATGGTGACAAGGATGATCCCTTGGAGGGGTAGTATGGATGCACTTTCAGTATTGTAAAGCATGAAGTTAATAGTTCAAACCGGTCTGTCTGAAAGTTTAATCCAAACATCTGCAGATACAAGCTCAGTCAAGCAAGTTGTCTAAGCAAGTGAGCCCAGAACAAAGGATACTTTAGGTATATTATAAAGAATATACTAAGGTACATTCATCATTATCTAAGTAAGGACATGACAGCCCAATACAGTCATTATACAGATGCTTTAAAAGCTCAAGGCAAATTAGCGTAAGTTAGGCACTGTAATGTTTACCTCTAATCATTGCGGCGGTTTCCTTGAGTAGTTTATAGAACCTCAAATTGCTCCCATAGGTGTGTCTGCGGTATCAAAGTATATGTAAGCCGCTTTGTGCAAAAGCATCAGCTAAATGAAATGTAATGTACATCACCGGAAATAATTCATTTATTAAGGTAATTGCATCTGGTTTCTTATTTCCTTTCATTTGACTCATAAGTGTTGCAGCTAATTTACTTTAAGGCCTGCTATTGCTGCTCCGGGTAAACTGAAATATATCATTTGTTGTGCAGCAGCAAAGATATTTCAATCCTTCAAGTCATTTGTTTTTTGCAAATGAATAGACACAGCATTTCTTACAGATCCAAGATTTTCTTATGACAAATACACAGCCACTCAGTAATGATGTGTCCTATATTATTATTGTAGTCCAACTGAGTGATGCATAGATAGAATAGATTGATGCATAAGCCTTCCCACAGCCAGAAACAAACTTTATTTCAGTTTGTTTGTGTGCCAATTCATGTCCCCTCGGCCCCGGTAATTAACCATCCAAACAAGCAGAATTGAGCCAGCCTGTTTCTCCCCTTTCTGCTGAGTCCTCACATCACACAGGCCCAGCTGCAGAGAAACAGATCTACAGTATGTCGCTGCCCTGGGGGTACCGAGCAGGACCTGACAAAAAAGAAAACTAATGGAGCGAAAAGGAGGACGCCTGCTACGGAGTCTGCAGATAAATGATTAGCTTAGAGAAAGGAGGACAGTGAGGAAAGGAAGGAGGTGGCAGTGTGAGAGAAGACAGACCGGCTATGTCACCGCTAGCAGCCGAGGCAGGATGATGGAGCAGCGTTTTGGATGCGGATAGGGAACACTGCACAGGAATTGTTGTGAGGACAGCTCGGATACTGTGTGTGTGTGATGAAATGAGTTTTTGTGTGGCAGGCTATTTCATTTCATTGAAGGTGCGATTTGGGTTAAATGATCCAGTATGTAGAGCTCTGGTATGATGTTGCTGTGACCTCCGAAGGGCATCAGGGAGAAAGTTATGAATCTGTTGTAGATGTTTGTTCTGTAGTCAAGTGACGGTGTGTATTGTAACGAAGGACACACAGCGGTAGCTTGTTACTCTGTAGCTTTATTTAGTTGTGTGTGTGTGAAGCCCTGCTAGCAGTATGGATCCTCAGCAGCCTGTTTTTAGCCTCATGAAGCGGCTCTGTCCTTGTTTCAGCCTGCTGGCACTTACAGTATGTATCTCCTCTCTCTATCCACTAAACACAAGATAAACAAAGTGAATATTCCTCTTTATTATAATAATTCTGACTTAAAAATGGTTGATTATAACGTTCTGTTTTTACACAGTCATCTGTCTGATTGCATCATATGTATTTCAGCTGTCCAGTCATGTATTGTTTGTCTGTTATATGAGATATGCAGTGTGGTATCAGTTTCTCTCGGGGCAGTTCGGGGTGGTGACCTTTCTGCGGTTTGCCCCCCCCTCAGAGCCAGGACTGGAGTAAGAGTGATGAGAGGCTCCTGCAGGCTGTGGAGCAGAATGAGCCCGACAAAGTCTCCGCTCTCATCGTCAAAAAAGGCCTCTGTCCCACGAAGCTGGACGGCGAGGGCAAGTCAGCGTAAGTTTGGCTCCTTATGTTTACCTGTCTTAGTCACTCAAAGGAAGTAGGAGTGGGCAATATGGCTGAAATCTTAAATCCAGGGATATGTTACTTTACATCGCGGTGTGTGTCACAATAATGTATTAATTCTGTATATTTAATCTAAAATTGTTTTAAAATAACCATAGTGTACTTCATCAAATTTGATGAATTCCTTTATTTATATGAATCACAGAAGCCATTAAAGACTGTTAATTTAAAATTATTTTAAAATGGAAAATGTAAGGTTCGACATACCAGCCTGACCTATATATAAGCAATATAAAAATTGGATAAATGTGTACTTTAGAGAGCGTACCAAAATCAAAACAGCCTAGACTTTTTCTGTAAGGTTTGACTCTCGTTTAAAAATTCAGACAAAATATTTTGCAAATGGCTGGTAATCCATCCTCATCCTGATTTTAAGTTTCCGTCCTCCATGTCGGCCCAAGTGAGGTTACCTTGCAAGCTAGCTGGATATGTAACCCTAACAGCGAGGCATTCATTCATTAGGAGGAATTGCAGTTAATAAAAAGCTTATTTTACTCATTAGTGTTGTAGTTATTTTAAGGCATGGCAAGTTTATTTATATAGCACCTTTCAACACAAGGCAATTCAAGGTGCTTTACAAAAAATGAAAGACATTCAGACAAAGGCATTTAAAAACAGTCATTAAAAAGAAAAGATAATAAAAGAAACATTAAAAGAAAAAATTCATGAATAAAAAGTTACAGTGCAGTCTAAGATTTGAATAGTTCACACAGAAGTTCCACTTTACTGATGCCTTTCTTTAAGGTTTCTCCGAACATGAGCTGTCTACGCTTCAGCATACACAGAGAAAACCAGCCAGGACAAAGTCCCCAGACACTGATCGGTTACCAGCCCCAAATGTTCATTAACCAAAAACGAAACACAACCGCAACCGTTTCAATTAAAAGCTGCGGCAAAAAGAAAAGTCTTCAGCCTGGATTTAAAAGTTGTAAGAGTTGCAGCGGACCTGCAGGTTTCGGGAGTTTGTTCCAGATATTCCATATTTTACACTAATAACTGCTATTGTTGCTCCTCCTAACACATCATTTCCTGTGCACCAGCAAAGTATATTCTCCTGGATTTACCTGCCACTGGGAATCCCACTAATCTGCTATCTTTCTGTCATTGATCCTTTTTTCGTAAACGATAAACTTCTACTGCCTACTTTCTCTTGAAAGTGAGTGCAGACATTTTTAATGGATTCCCATGTTCATCTCTTAGCCCCACTGACAGACTGTTTGTCCTCCTGCAGGTTCCACCTCTCTGCGTCCCGCGGCCGGCTGGACTGTCTGGAGGTCATCATCGCTCACGGAGCAGACGTCAACATCACTGATGGCGCTGGTACGGTATTTTACTATCAAATATAAATGTTTATATCCCAAGCCAAGGCTGTTGAATCACACTTGTTGTGGATTTTTTATAAATGTCTGTTTTATTACTGACTGCAGGCTTCAGCGCCCTTCACCTGGCCGCCAAACACGGCCAATCAGAGTGTTTAAAGAGGCTCCTACAGGTAAATCACACTATGACAGCAAAGCTAACATATACTATAAAATATAAATGGAATAATGCAAGCAGGATTTTTACTGTTATTTCTTCTGACAGGAGAGATTATCAGTAGATTGCACAGACAGCATTGGTAGGACGCCGCTTCATCATGCAGGTAACAGTTACAGAACTACAATGGGACATCAGTTTGGGCACACAATTCACTTTGCATACAACAATTACTTCTCTTGGATCCTATCACACATTTGAAAGTATTCTTAAAGTGGACCTATCATGCTATATTTGAATAATATAGTGTAGGACCATACCTATATAAGGCATATTTATACTTTTTATTTGTAAAAATACCAAACAGATCATGCATTTTAGCCATTCCTCATTTCGCTTAATTTAACACTGTCTTTTCATGGGCTGATTCTGTGAGAACAGCACCATCTACAGGCCTGGCATATGTACTACAGCGTCTCCAGCACTTTGGAACGCAATGTCCGTGGCTGTCTCCTCCTGATTGGTGGAGTTGGCCCAATAGCCGTAGCGCCACTTCTGTGACATCATAGAAGTGTTCAAATCTGGATCAGTCTGTATCAGATCCGTTGCAGCCCCTTTTTAAGAGATTTGGGTATGGAGGAAAATAGAGAGGGTTGTGTTTTCTGACACTTGGTGAGTTCCCTGGAACACCGGGGACACATATTCATGTATAAAAGACGTACAAAAGTGCATTTTGCATGATAGGTCACCTTTAACACAAAGCTTTAAACAAGATTACATGATGTGAGTACAGTACATGCTATACTGTATGTAAACCTTTGGTATTCATCATAATGCTGATTATTTCCTGCAGCGGTCAGTGGTTGCTTGTCCTGCTCTGAGACACTGTGGGATTTTAAAGCCAGTCTGGATGTCCAGGATGGGGTAGGATGAAGAGCTTTGTTTTAACAATATATATATATATTTTGGCTTGCATTGTTTTGTTTTGAACTGTAATGCGAGATAAATAAGTAAATGACAATCCATTGTTTACTCTTTCTTTAAGTTAATACATTGGATACCATTATCAAATATATGTGATGTTGCTTCATAGTGTTTAAATAAGTTGGTGTTGTCTTTCTGTCAGGACGGGGAAACCCCTCTGATCTTGGCAGCTCAGATGAGCCGAGTGGAGCTGTGTGTCTTTCTGTTGGGTCGAGGTGCCAATGCCAACATTCAGGACAACCAGGGAAGGTGCTGGACTTTAAATAATTCTCCTCTTCTCTGTGGCACCCCAGCTGAAGCTTCTGACAGATGGAAGGACAGGCAGTGTCTGACAGTGTGTGTCCTGCTGAGGCAAACTGGAGCACTGCACAGACTTTTAAGCTAAAACCAAAAAACCTCTGCAGGATTATTCTCACAGCAGTGGGGTTGTCTGGGTCAGGATACAGGAAGGATTCTTGTAGAAAGACTCCAGTATGTGGAGTAGATTTGGGGGGATGCAGGTCAGGACCTCCAGCAGGGACAGCTCTCAGTCTGGCTTTGGAGAGGATGATTAGAGGCTTTTTAAAGACTGCATCTTTTCATCAAAACCCAATGCCTTCTCATTCAATTCACACAACAAGATTAGTATCTCTGGAATCCTTGATCAAATAAAAAGAGTTGTGTAGGTTTAAGCATAATGTATCTTTCCAATGACTGATATATTACTGCCGGTCTGAAACTGATGTATATATGATTCTTCATTATTGCTGTTTTCTTGTTTTCTTATGATGTTTGTTGGCATTGCAGGTCTGCCTTGATGCTGGCGTGTGAGAGTGACAGCATAGAGACAGTAGAAGCTCTGCTGAGAGGCGGGGCCAACACACAGCTGGAGGACGCCCTCGGACACAATGCCATCGACTACAGCATAACCACGGGCAACCAACTCATCATAGAGATGTTGCAGAACGGTGTACCTCCAGGTAAAAAGACCTCAATGCTGGTTTTTAGAGAGAGAGGTGATTGCAGATCACACAAAGATGTTTTTACAATTCACTTTTGTATTGTATTCTCGCAAATCAAGCAAGCTTAGTCCTGTGAAAGGTAAAAGAGGTAACGGTTCCATATTGAAATGAAAAAGAAACAACTAGATTTATGTTATATGGCGGTGTATCCACTTTGCACATGTGTAAGCATTGGGGATGTCTGTCAGAATACGTCATAAATTGACTTTTTCTCCAGTTTGAAGCCACTATTTTTCGATTCCCTTTTATTTTGACACTTTATATTTTTAACCTGATGAAGTATTTTAGTCATAAGACATCTGGATCTTTTGTTGGTGGAGATATAAGCTCAGCAAGCATTGGTGGCTGCTTACCAGAACCTATTGTTTCAACCAAACTAAAACGACATAACTATTTGGTCTTCTTACCAGTTTAAATGTCCAAGTCTAATGTTTTGAAAAGGAAGGACTTCTCTGTTGTAAAAACCTCCTGAAGATGAATAATGATAGCACAATAACTGGGGGCTGACTGCAGTGATGGCAATAGTGGTGAAGACTCCGATGAACCTACACCAATACACAACCAAACAAACCACTCCACTTCCTTTGATTAAAAGATCCTTAGTGGTTAAAAAGTATTGGGTGTTAAAACTAGGCAGAAATAATGAATCTGCTTATGACAGCAGCTTTTTTAATATGACGTGGCAGCATCATATGAAACACATGGTCCTAACATCTAACAGATCATCAGTGTGTGGCTTCTGTTTGTGTCCGTGCTGCTCTGGGTCCTGGCTGTGTCTCTGCTCCCAGGGGAAACAACTGGAATAGAAGGAGTTGGATCAGGAAATGAGCTGGGTGTGATTGTGAAGTGGGGTTTGAAAAAAGAAAAATAAGACGAAAGGCTTGCTCTACTTTTATCCCTCAACAAACACATTGCTGCTATATGGAAAGCAGATGTGTGGTTTGAAGAGCAGATGGAGAGATCTTGGTGTGCATATGATGCCTCACCACATTATCTTTTATTCTATAACTGGATAATTTGGTGGATTTACTAGGAGATACATGCATGGACTTGATATAAACTACATGTTGAGAAGTGACAGGAACTTTTGGACTTGTGCCTGTAGCTGTGTGCTGGACCTCATCACATTATAAAGTGTCTTGCTATGTGTCTTTTTTCCCTCTGCACACGTAGCTCCTGAGGGCGAGGAGGTAATGTTGCATAGCTGTGTGTTGGATCGCTCCCTCCATCAAATGAGATCATGGCTCACTTTGGCCGATCACATTGTGCATGTTTTCCAATATGAGGTCATTGTTTTTGTGTGTGCCGCTTTCTTTTCGTTGGCCTTCATTCCACTTTGTTGCTGACCCTTCGTGTTATCTCAGTTTCCTCTATTTTCCCTTTTTATGTTGAGCTTGACCTCTGCTTGTTTTGTGATCACCCTCAAACCCCCACGCAGCCCCCTCAAATCCCCTCAGGCGCCTCATCAGTGCAAGGGGGCACGACCCCCCGCAAACGGAAAGCTCCTCCACCGCCGCGCTCTCCTTTGCAGGTACATAAGAAACAATTGTGGTCGATGGAAAACACTCTTTCCCCTAAAAGCAAAGCCTTTCTGTATGTTTGCATATAGATAGATGGATAGATAGATGGATGAGGTAGGTAGGTAGGTAGGTAGGTAGGTAGGTAGGTAGGTAGGTAGGTAGGTAGGTGGATAGGTAGGTAGGTGGATAGATGGATAGATGGATAGATGGATAGATAGATAGATAGGTATTTAGTATTGATCCCAATTTGGGAAATGTTTGCGTTGCAGCAGCATAAAAAACACAAGGCAATGTACATAAGATAAATTAAGACACAAAAAATAAACAGTCCAAAAATATTTCAGAAATAAAATAGCATTAAACATTAAAAGAATATAATAATAATAATAGATTTAATTTGTTAGCGCTTTTACAGGTGCTCAAAGACGCTTTACAGATAATAGTGAAGAGAAAAGAAAAGAAAGGAACAACAAATAAATATATAGTTAAAGTTAAAGTCAAATAATACAAAAACAATCACACATGAAAAGCCAGATTGAAGAGGTGAGTTTTTGTGAGTGTTTTGAAGGTGGTGAGGTCGGTGCAGTCTCTGATGGGTTGTGGGAGTGAGTTCCAGAGGGAGGGGGCAGCGACGGAGAAGGCTCTGTCCCCCCCAGGTCCGGTGATTGGTGCGGGTGGGGATGGATAGGAGGTTGGCTTCTGATGAGCGGAGACAGCGGGAAGGGGTGTGGTGGTGCAGCAGGTCTGTGAGGTAGGGGGGGGGCTGGTTGTTGAGGGCTTTGTAAGTAATGAGGAGGACTTTGAAGTGGATTCTTTGACGGAGGGGGAGCCAGTGGAGGTTCTGGAGGATGGGAGTGATGTGGTCTCGGGAGCGGGTGAAATAGAAATAGAATATAAAAAAATAGAATATATATATATACAGTATGTGTGTTTTTAAAGTGGATTCATCTAAATATTCACTCATTCAACCTTTATTCACTTATCTGGTTTGATTTAGGGGAGTTTACATTAAACAAAGAATAACATACATTCGCAACCTTTAAAAAAGAAAGAAGCAATATCTACTAATGCTACTATGTGAGACACAAGATAAAAGTGGTCCATATTTACGCTTATTCTACAACAACCCAGTGTGTAGAACAACATCGCTTCTCGAGATATTAACTCAAGACTATAATGTGTAATTTGATGACTGAAAACAATACATTTTACTCTGTTTCCTCATCTCAAAGATCAAGGGGATGCCACCTTCTCCACACCCCAGGAATCCTGCTCCTCCTGAGCCCCAGTCTCTCTCTCCCGCTCCCCAGCCTCCAGAGACACAATCAGCCATGCAGGTTTGCACTGTCAATCTTGCATTTTCATTAAAGTTGCTTTTGATATTACGTGAAAGACAGACATGAACATATTTATTGTGCTTGTCTGACTAAGGCGGAGGACGAGGAGGTGTTTGAGGAGATTCGACGGCTGCGTCAGGAGCGAGGCCGCCTGCTCCAGAAGATCAAAGCCTTGGAGCAGCAGCACCAGAGCGCCCTCTCTGCCTTGGAAGAGGTGCTGCACCCCTTCTTATTTATAGCTCCTCAAAATGATTAATGCTTTTATGTAAATCAATACCTCATTAGATCTCTGTGCAAATGCAAGTACAAGTTAAAACAAGGTACATGTGGTGCAGGTTATACAGTATGTAGGTTTTTGAGTCCACCATAATGCACTGTTATCAATGTGTTTTTTACCATCACTTTTACGTGTGTGTGTGTGTGTGTGTGTGTGTGTGTGTGTGTGTGTGTGTGTGTGTGTGTGTGTGTGTGTGTGTG